GAATGTTGGGCAAATATAATGAATCACTTTTGGACCTCAATAGATCGCTAGAAATAGAACCGGATGATGCTTTCGCACTAAGAAATCGTGGAGTAACCTACGCAATGTTGGGTAAATATAAAGACTCGCTTTCAGATCTTAATAGGTCACTAGAATTAGAACCCAATAATCTCTTTGCATCAAAACACAAAGAAGAAGTTCATAGGATTTCAGATGAATATGATAAATCAATTTCGGATCGCAATGTATTGTCAAAAAAACAAAATATTATTCACGGTAGATTCAGTAGTGAGGTAAAAAGTTGTTTGTCAACCAATATCTTGTATAGATAAAATTTTTTTTTTTTTACAATTTAAATTATTTAGGAGGATGAAAAACTGCTTGAGTATATTAATAAACATGGCGTTGGAAAGTGGCAAGATGTTGCAGGCCACGTAGGAACAAGAAGCGAAAAACAATGTAGAGAACGGTAACTTTGCTATTTACTATAACTACTGTTTTATTATTAAATAATAACGAGTTAAAATTTTTTTCTTCTAAGATATTATGGCCACTTGGCACCAGGAGGTATGATCTAAAAATTAAATTAGTAGCAATATAATGATATGAAATAAAGTTTTAGTAACTATTGAATTATTCGATTAGTTAATAAACTTCCTTTTACGGAAAATGAAATCAAAAAAATCCGCGAATTGCGAGAAGAAGGCTATAAATGGGCTGAAATCTCCCGAAGACTAGGCAATGGTCGTACCCCGAATAACATTAAAAATATTTGGAACCAAAAATTATCTAAATCCCCGGGAGGAAGAGAATTAAAAAAAGATAAAGGGCGACGAGTTATCAGTTGAAACCACGTTTGATGCACAATCATTCTTCAGTTTTTCGGGCAGAGCACTATATTACCCATCAGTTTTCCTTAACGACGAAAGGTTGACTAATGAATTGCCTAGTATGCAGCTGCTACCAGGTCTTCCGACATATCACTCACCTTTGAAACCCTTAGAGGGGATAAATAATAACAAGCAATTAAATATTCAATTACCACCTATTACCTCATATATGCAAATTTTTAAGCAATGAAACGGTCCTATTCCGATATTATTATAAAAAGGTACAACAGTTATTAAGATAACAATTCTATTTTTTCATGATCTAGAATATGATTAAATCCGACAAATTTATTTACGTATATAAATATATGAATCAAACAAATCACCAAACTCATAAGTTTTTTCATTAAAACTCCAATAGAGTAGATGTAATCCACACAAGTTTGTTGATAGTGTTTAATGATCGACACACTTAACCTTTTAATTTTCTATTATTACTCCATTATTATTATTGTTATTGGTTTTTTTTTATCAACATGTTTCATTTATTATTGGGAAATAAAGCGAATTTTTATTTATATTCATCAAATGGTTTGATCAAATGTAGTCATAATTTGCACGAAATAAATTTTATAAGTAATCGAAGGAATCTAAATTTATAAAAATACTTTTGCAATTTATTATAAAGTTTTAAAAAATCACATCTATTAAAAAATTTATTAAAATACAAT